CCCCCCAGGTTGAAGATTTTTTCAACCCGGGATAGGCGGGGGCTCCGACCCATGTGCGGTGTGATTACAGCAACATACAACAGTTAGTTGCAGATCCTGTGCTACACACACAGCAATTGATACGCACACAGCTTCTGTGAGTNGACCTGTGAATGTGTGTGCCTATGATGCGAGGTCGTACGTGCGAGCCGTTGTACGCTATACTGCTGTGCATGTAGTCACACAGCAGTCTACTGCTGTTTGTTGGCCATGGTTTGGCTAGTCCACCGCACGTGTAGTCGTATATGCTAGGTCAAACTACCCCCCCCTCGAGCCAGCGCGTGGTTTGCTGGGTTCACCACACGGGTGGTATGCTTGGTCCACCGCACGCGTTGTCTGCTGGGTCACCATATGTTAGGATGANTTGTCCTATTCCCCCAGGTAAAGCTCGAAGTCGTAGACTTTGAAGGGATGTAAGCAGCGTACATTGCTTTTCATTCGACTTCGGAAACAGCTTATTTAGGCAATTTACAAGCCATCACGCAGGGAACGGTTTGAATTTCCCTTGAGGGGGCTCGCGGATGCATGCGATTTTCCCTCAATTTTACCCTTGTCTACGTCATAACCCTCGCCACCACCACTATGACCAAATAATACAAAATTATATATTGTCGGGATCCCCGTGGTCTAACGGAAGTTTGTGTGAAATATCAGAGCTGTTATTCTTCCGCATTATGATAAACTCAAGAAGATGTTGCGCTTACGCCTGACAGGTGGTGGGCGGGTATCCGAGACGCCACCGTCAATGCTTCTGGTACTCGAGCTCCACACCATTACACAAGGAACCGTGCATTGAGATGATGGAAGTGGTCAGCGGTAACGATGGTGTCTACAGCACTACTTGCTGACCAACGATCATAGCTCCGCTCGCCGTGGACTGGCAGCAGCAGGGGAGAGCGTCCGAGGAAACAGGAGCAAACCGCAACAACACAGGGAAACAGCGCCGCAGCCGCGTGCTACTACTCTGCAGTATTCAGCAGCATCACCCGGCGAAGGCCTCTGCCTCTGTCGCTGCTGCTGTGCCGCACGCTATACAGTATTGACCAACCCCGCCACTCTTCGACCGCGATTCACTATCATTACCTCTCCCGCCCCGAAAAGACATCGCGTGTTGCTACGCGTTGTTGTTATTGACGGTAGTTGCTGACGACAGTTGTTGCCGACGACGTTGAAGGTTTGAAGGAAAGATACAACCGAAACCAACAGGAGGAGGGACCGTATGAGGTGACGCAAAGGGCAGAACATGGTAAGTACAGGAGTTCCCCAGGAAAAATAGAAAATGTAGTTGTCCAGGTGGAGGCTTTTTGTACTTCTCCATTCCACCGCTCGTGAGTACAGCAGTGAGCGCGCATAATAAGCGTGTACCCATTGGACGGTCCTGTGCTATTTGCGGCCCGTCTGAACCCCACAACTTTGGTCCTGGAACGGGCGAGTGTACTATGAACTCGATATTGATATCTGCGTCGATGACAGTGCGCCGAAGATCTTTTCGTAGCACATGATGGCGATCGCAAAACGGGATCGTAAGGAAACGATGCGCTCAGCAAGATCTACTGTCATCACACAAGGACACCAACTAGGTAGTACAGGCTGCTCGGTTTCCTAAAAACAAAGCGGTGAGTCTGGACCCGAATTATTTGACGTTCCTTGTCTCCGGGCGGCATACACTGCTGAGAGGAACGCCCAAGAAGAATAGACTCTTTGAGGTTTACATCCATCATCAGATAGATCACATTGGCATACTACATAGTCTGCAACAGACTCGCAGAGCTAAATAAAACAGATTGCCTGTTGTCGCGGTACGGTTGGGTTCTGGATACCAGGCACAGAAATATTGGTCACCGGCGAAGCTCGTATACCACCACTGACTGGCTGTGATCGTAGAGGTCACTTTTTCGTCACTACTATTCTGTCGGGGACGGAACTTGATGGCTGCCAAAGAGCACAATTTTTGTTGAGCTCCTACATACGAGTGCCAACGTCATCTACGCACGCTGACGTCCAAACCTGAAGCAAAATGTGGAGGATTAGGATTGTGTTATTGTTATAGCCCATCTCAATAGGCCGCACGAAGGTGTATACTTACTTACGTACACACAGCAGAAAGCACAAACGCAATGCGGTAAAGGTTCACATCAAACACTGAGCGACACACTATTAATAACTAATCAAGCGAACCTCACGGCAGCCATGACCTCGATCAGAAATGCCCGCATACGATGCTCGCGAATACCAAGGTACCGAAATTCTGATTGGACCTGAAAATCCTGAAAAGCCCTGCTGGGTCTTCGAGATCCGCAGAGTAAATCTGCCACGCAAGGTGCCCTCCTGCAGCCGCAGTGCCCGCAAAGAATGGCCAAGACAGCTCCGCCGTCACTCCCGAGGCCGTCAACAGCCCCACCGACGCTGTCCCGAACCCGGCGAGAATCGGCTTCGTTCTGTCGCCGAAAAGGAGAGCGGTGGACCTAATGCCGAGACGCTTGTCGTCCGCCTTGTCCTGATGGCCATAGAGGGTGTCGTACACGAGGGTCCAGCATACGCCCGCGCCGTACAGCGGTAAGACGTGTTCCCAAGAAGCGGACCCGTGAACCGCTGCCCATCCCATGATCGCGCCCCAGTTGAAGGTGAGGCCCAGGACAGCCTGAGGCCAGTCCGTGTAGCGCTTCATGAGCGGGTACGCGACTACCAGGGGCATCACGGCCAAGCCGAGCTTGATGCACTCGATGTTCAGGCTGAGAAGCACGCCCAGACCCAGCGTGAGCTGTGCCCCGAGGAAGGCGATCGCCTGCGTGTTCCCGAGCTCGCCGGACGCCAACGGCCGCTGCTTCGTTCGTGTCACCTTGCGGTCGAAGTCCTTATCCCACAGGTCATTGATGGTGCACCCCGCCGACCTACGAACATTTGGCGATAGGACAGCAAAAGAAGGCATCGGAGAGGTTACCGATTTTACTAGGACAACGCCGCTGTTTCGCAACACGTTTTGTCATAAAGGGCCCATGGTTGGATCTCATGCGCCGGCGATGTGTAAACGAAGAAAGACGACATTGTTGAAAGCATCACGATTCGGAGGAAAAACTCTGGAAGTAATCGCTCTCCTGCGTGAGGATGCGCGAGGCGGCCCTGCTCCGGCAAACACAACATTGTCGTGATTGCCATGAAGAACAGGCGGGAGTGTTGTGTACATTATGCAGATCGACGCCGTACAAAAGTGCAGTCTTCATTGCTGCTGCAGATAAAACATGTTTCACAAGCACTCCATTTTTGTGTGGCCTTGCCTCCTGTGGATCCCAGCTGATGCGTCCAGAAACATAAGCATATCGAAGATGTAGAAATCGTCTCACGCCCAGAATATAAAGGACGACACTACAGCAAAATAGAACGCACCACCATCCAAGAGCCTGGCAGTTGAGCAAATTGCGCTGCTGAACCGCGGAGCATCAACATGTTTGACCAGGACTCGCTTGTTGTGCCTGGACAAGAGCCTGAAGTACAAAAACCTATAGTCTAGTCCATACAATTGTATAGTGGCTGTTGATGACCTGAGGAGGAAGCAAGGACCCGAGCCTCGGCCAACAAAAGAGAACTTTTTATGCGGCACGTTTCGTGTGGTCTATAACCATGACTAAAAGCGTCCTGATAATGTATTCTTTCCTGCTTCAAGACTTGCGTCTTCTCATTGGTCAACCGCCCTCGATGCATCCACACGTGAAAGGATACACACGCATGATCTCCGTCCGGATCCAAATCCTTTGGATATTATTTATTCGTGTCTACGCCGCCACTCCATCACTCAGCACGCCAGCTTGTACTTTGCGAACCCCTACAGACAAGGATTGCGAAGGTATCATAAGCCTGAAACAGTTCGGTATCGACAATCACCTCATCAAAACAGATCCGGTGGCGAACAGGGCCATCAGCTTGGCATCAGGGAGAGTGCCCATTGGCGCCGCTAGCGCAATGCTCCACCAGCAAGGAAACAGCAAGAGCAAAGTCCCTGCTGGTTTGTCGATCCTAGCCAAGCGCCCATACGGGCTCCAACGCGGGCCCAGCATTCTCAACACGGCGCTATCGCTCTCCAGGCCGTCTCCACCGCTCCCACTGCTGAAGCTACCACTCCTGTTGCTACTACTTGAACTGCCGAGGGGTGCCCGCGGCTGGCCTAGCGGCAATGATGGTCTTATGGACGTGTCGTCTTTGCTGTGGGTGCTGGAGACGCCTCCGCCAGCGCTTCTGGTACTTCTCAACCTCCACACCGACACAAAAGGAACTGCGCAATGAGATAGTGGAACTGGTCGGCGGTAGCGATGGTGTAGACAGCATCTGCTGCTGACCGATTGTGACGATCGAACATCATTGCTCCGCTGTGCACTCGCAGCAGATGAGAGCGTCCGAGGAAACAGGCCACAGCGACGCCGGGAAAGAGCGCTGCAGCCGCGTGCTACTGCTGCACTATTGAGCAGCATCACTCGGCGAAGGTCTCTGCCTGTATCTCTACCACTGCTGTGCTGCACGCTACGGTTGTGTGTTCGTGCTGGTGCTTGTTGCTGTGCTAGTGCGGGTACATGAGACGCTTGTGCTGTGTGTCCCCTGCCAAGCCGCGAATGATTCTACGGAGACTCCTTTCTCTCTCGCTAGCTGAAGTGTGTGTTGCTGTGCGGGTGCTGTGTTGCTGCCCAGTGCAGGGGGCTTTCGCCCTTGCGTGTGCACTGAACGGAAATGGCGGAGTTGGTCGTTGGCCAGAGGGTGAAGGTCCGCCCGAAGGCGGGCCCGGCCCAGGAGGGCGTCGTGTACACCCACGACGCCCTCACGAACACGATCACGATCAAGCAGGACATCCCCAACACCAAGACGCACAGCGCCATCCTGGTGTACAATCGGGCGCACGTCCAGATCGACGTGGTGCCCGGAGCTCCCGTGGTGGACGACTGCATGGCGTTGCCGAACATCAGGTGCGAAAGCATGCTGCTTGGTGTGTCGGTCTCTCCTTGGACTGCTGTGTAGAAGGTGCAGCGAGGTGTGTGTGCTGTGTAGCATGCCAGCGCGCTCCCTTGCCCCACCGCTGCCTGCACCCTAAAGAAGGTCGACCACCCTACAGCTGTATCCCCACAGCAGGAGTAAGTATGCTGGTGCTTCACAGCGCCTCTCTTCACCTGACGTAACGTTGTTACATCTATCGAATACAGCTCGAGCGTGTTGGATCTTCGACGCTCCTCTGCCGCTCCCTCCCTCCATTGCAAGCCCGAACGTGTTTGAAATGATTGTTCCTTATTGGGAGGACCGAGTTTAACGAGCAGCATCGACGTTACAAGATGTCTGCCGTTAAACTCTTTCGTCTCTGTACCTTACGAGAAGCACATCGATGTTTTGGATTTCGTGCGTGGGTGTACAGCCCGGTTTGGTTTGTGATCGTGCGTGTTACTTCGTTGTAACCGCCCCTACAGCAGGTCGTCTGCTCTCTCTTTGTCAACCTCAACGGTTCGAACCGGTGGTACAATAATAGCTCAGCTCCAGATGTGTGTAACGTTACAACAGCAGTGTGGGTGGAAAAGGCTGTAGTGTATAGCGCTCGACGTTGTAGCGGTAGGTAGTGGCGGATCACCACATCACTAACAAGGGTGGTATGCAATGTGTGTAGTCGTCCCATCTATCCAGGAGAACTACTACCCGGTAGACGCCAATCTACACTGCGGTAAGTCTACACTGCTGTGTTTCACGCACTAGTCGGAGCATTCAGGACCAAAAACCGGATTCGTTCTTCAACTCTCCCCGTGCGGCGCTTGCCTTCAATCTTCAATTGTGAACGCGAGAAGGGTTCAGTGTTCCTTGCCCTCTTATGTGTGTTTGCTCACGACCGAAGCGGTGCAAAATAAACCAACACACCTTGCGGTTTGGAACACCTATCCACTGCCTGATGAAGCTTTTGACCTTCCCTGTTTTGTGTCGTACATATTTCAGCGGCCGGGAGTTGGACAGGAAGGAGAATAAGGCACTCCAGGAAGCGACAAAGGCATGGGCACAGATCAATCCGGGCGCCACCAACGAAGGACAAGCCATTTTTGACCTTTTCACCAAGACGTGAGTGTGTTTTAAGTATTATTAGTAATATCTAGCATCGACCGCGTTGACCGGCTGACCAATGTGCGTGTTGTGTGCCTTGCGGTTGTATCGCACCTCCTGAAGATGCCGTCAGACGTGTAGCCCTGGTTGTAGGAACCTTTTCCGCGTTCAAGTGTGGCACGTGTTACATGACCATCTCCGCAGATTGTCTAGAGGCAGAACCGCGAGAGCTCGGACATCGTACCGATGCTTCGAATCCTAAGAGAAAAACTGCTTTCGTTTCTTCACGTGCCATACACGGAACTCGTTTCGCGTCATCGATCCTGAGCATAGACGCCCACTCTCCCGATGTTTCAGTCTGGACTGCTCGTGGAGCGACCAGAGCATCGTGATCTTGGAGTCCGTGAGGATAGACCCCCCCTACACGGCTGATAATTGTCGCAGCTTGGATGGAGACAAGCCAGGCCTCGACAGAGCGCTTCTAATGGTGAGACAAGAGATGTAGGGGGGAGGTGCTTGCTGTAAAACGCATGTTTCAAGTCGACTTTCCGCTGACCCCACCCTTTCAAGAGTACCGAGGACAGCAACGATTGGGCCGCGTCTCGAAGATTGACCTGGTGCGGTGGACTAGTAGCACAGGAAAAGGACGACCCGACAATTGCGTTCTTCGTCGTCTAGACTCAAGTCGTGAAACGCTGCAAGCCATACCCCTGTAGAACAAGGCACAGAGGAACACCGCAAGAATCTCATCCGATCTCGTTTTTGTTGGTAGTCTGGCGTGAAATAACTAGAGAGGTTATACGTTTGGGGGCCCCGCAGATGGTGTTCATTCATTGATGGGCTTCGTTTCGTAACGTTGAGACCAAAAGGTCGAGGAGAAAAAGGATCGATCATGCTGTCGAATTCGAACATCGTATGCATACGTACGTTTGCAATTCCGATTTTTTTTCGACCTTACCAACGTCTACTTTGTCCGCCCGTGCGCCCTTTTTCTTTCAGCTGGGCAAATTTCGAAACCAGCTGGAGGGGCCGAAGTCGGGCTGAGATTCGTCGGCGGGAGGGGGGGGG